CCACCCCACGCGAACGGTCTTTTTCTCTTTTTTAATACTAAACTCCAGTCATAGTCATGAGTATATTTTTATTTGTAGCCATGTTCATTTCTGCTAATAAATAAATTTAAATATGTGAGCGCCACGGGATTACCAACCATAGCTCGTATCACCGTGACTGGCGGATCCAGAAATTTGTGACATTTTATTAGTTTGTTCACACTGAGACGGATGGTATAGTTCAAGTTCAAATCACTGAAGATAAGCGTTTTTTGGGTTTTTGTTTTTCATTTTCTACAAATATTAAAGCGGGGAATCGGCACCTGTGCATGTGGCCACGGTTTTTAGTAACCGTGATGTGGCAAACGGCCACAGCGTGTCGTTGTTTACAAACGAGCGTCTACCCATGAGCCTTTGCGTTTTTAGCGTGCGTTGTTATCGTCGCTTGGGACTCAATTCCCGCGCGTGCGCAGGTGACGACCCCTCCGCTTTAAGGTAATTTATGATGAGCTACGTACATGCTATTGACACAGTCGCATCACGTTTTGATTGTCAATTTTCTTAGCACATAGCACTGTGACGACATGTGTTTATACGATGAAACACGCGTTACATTCCACACATTTTCAAAATTTGTGTTTGAGAGAAGAAGTGCTCCGGGAAAGCACATCATCAACACAAATTTGGCGAAACTACAGAGGGCGTCTTCTTTAATCAATCCACCTCCGATACTTCATTCATTAAACCATTGTCAAAGTTAGCGATGGCAATGATTCCACTCTTTTTAAGGAAAACAAACTCTGATTTAATTGTTAATATTCTTTTGAAGGTTGCATATGAAATGGAAAACGTGTCGTTAATAACATTCACACATTTTAAAGTTCATTCGGTGTATTTTTTAAATAGGTATTTATTCTTATTTTTTTCATATATTTTATTTGTATTGTTTATTTGCTGTTAGTTTTTTTTATAGTTTCGACAATCACGAAAACCCAGATAACGATAGTTAAAACAGTTGTCAAAAAATAAAATGTATGAAATAAAATTAACCAAAAGTTAAAAAAAATGCGTATTAGAGAATTTCATTGTTACTCAGATGTGTTCTACAAAACGGTAATTTCTTGTCATGATAAAGCATAGTCCAATGTAGTCATCAAAACACAGTACATAGTGTAAAACAACAACATTAAAATTACATGTTCACGTCACGACTTTATCAGTGATCTCACAAGGACATTTTAATCGTCGTTATCGTAATGATGCCTCTTCAACTTAAAGTTTGGACGCCAATGTGACCTTGCTACATGTATTTCAAAATTTATAACCCAAATCACGAGTTGTTGCGCTACGTCCTTCTGATTCAAAATATATAGAACACACATAAACAGAGCAAAATGCTGATTCAGGAGTTTAATGGGTTAATGACATCAAGTCACCGACAAAGATATAAAACCAATACATGTTATATTTCAGATGACGTGATTGCGAAACCATGGCAACACTCATCATATGGATTTATTGCTCAATAACGATTATACGTATTTATGGTAAAGACGTGAATATGTTACTATTTATAGACGCATTTGATCTAAAGCGACCCATGGAGCTCCATGAGCGATCTAAGTAACTACTGACAATTCTACTCAGTTTGCTTTTGTAATATATTGTATGTTTCGTATTTTATTGTTTTACCATACAAACAATGATACATGTGAAACAATGGGAATTACGCCGATGGTTGTGATCAATATTTTCTCCACTAGTAGTGTACGCACTTCTGTAAATTACAGAGGTGTATATGTAGTCAAAATAAATACTATTTTAATTATCCAGCATATAGTAAATGTAAGCTTTGGTGTATATGCGATTCCATTGGGTATACGCTAATAATGGAACAAATACGGTAGCTCTTTTTGAGTCAGGAAACGAGATACATACTTCAAGTAAACCAATTAGGCAACACACGATATCCCGAATTTTACCTGTGTCTGTCACACCACTGAATCAGTATAATGTAGAATATAGGTATTTAATTGCATGTTTTAGGACAAATTTGAAAATAGTGGAAGGTAGCCCCTCTCACAGCACAGGACGAAGTAATTCAAGTTGTCAACACAGACAAGTTATGGTCCGTCACGCGGAGTGCCCACACTGAAATTTGTAATGAGGGAAAAATATCTTTCAAACCTGATCTAGCCTGACATTTAGGAGTGAGTGGCGCCCTCGCCGGCCGACATCAGACCCCACTGTCGGGTTTGTAACACCGCGGAGGGCGCAACTTACGCGATCTTGTCATGCTATACCTGATCAAACATCTTACTTTATGTCAAAAACAAACGTATCGCGAAGATTAAACAAAGCGCCAAATAGAGGGCGCTGTGACGCACTCAATAAACTCAATTTGTTTCTGTTCACGATATCTGCCATGACATTTTCTCCATTCTCTCTCACAGTAACCAACGCTACTGTATAATTCACAGTAAATCCTTGACTTATCTATTTTTGTTTTTTCGTTTATGCAAGAAATATCCATTCATTTACCAGTATGGAACGGTTAAAACGACAAAACATTTCACGTTTTACTGTGTTTGAAGATACTGGAAGCACACTCCTATTGTATTTCCCAGGTAGTCGCCCTTCCCTCCCTGCATCTGACATAAAGCGATACTATTTAAAACAATTTATTTACTATTAAAATTCAAAAGTTGGTTACTTAATTTTCTCATAAATACTAGTACACAAAGATTTTACCAGGGTGGGGCGAGGTCCCGAGGGGGCTACTTCCACATTAAGTGGGTAAGGGTGTGCAGCCCACCTCTCGTAAACCATACTCACTTCTAAACCATTTTTTTCTATTTATATACCCACTTCTAAACAAAAGCTCACAACTTTCACAACCAGTGAGCGCATCCGGGAGATGCATTTTATTCACCCTTTTCCGGTATTTGGCTTTGAATATAAGGACCCGTGAAAAAGTAAATAAATGACCACCCACTTCTAAACAAAATAACGTGAAATTACACCCCAGTCGGGCAGCACATACCCGTATTGCACTTCTATGCGAGTGGGGTACTCTCATAGTTAAAGAATACACATATACCCCACCCAATTTCCACAGTCGAGCCGATCATTTTGACCCTAAATTTTAAGATTTTCAGCCATTTCAGCATAATTTAGGCCATTCTTTGGCAAAAAATGAAAAGTGTTGAACTTTCATAACTTGTAATTGTTCTCATAGACTTTGCATACTGAAATTGTGGCAGTTGGCCTGGCTTGTTAATTTGAAATTATTTGTTTGATTCCAGGGTGTGGATGCATGCTTATTCTACTAAATAAGCCAAGTTGGTAATTGGTGGTTGATACATACCGTATGAATCAGATGTGATTTTTACACGTCATTGTCCCATAATCCTTCAATACTAAATGAATTTCATAATACACAAGTGACAAACTTGCTGTACAATTTCATCAGAAGAGTTACCAGACCTTACAAAAACAGTGCAGTAATTAATGGTAGCGGCGGTGTCTTAGTCATACTCTCAGTTATTAGGATTTTAACTTGTGAAGAAACTCCACGCTTAACGACATATACGCTCTCCACAAGACATAAAATATTGCCCTACCAAAAGACATTGATTAAAAGGATGTGCCCTCAAAAATTAGATGGTAAAATTCTGCCAAACACCGTATATAAGTTAGGATAATATCATTACCTAATATCCTCCCACTTAAACACATCCCATAAAATTTGGATTCAACTGATCCATAGTTTTTCCTGTAATTTATTTTCCATAATAAATGTTGTATCTATTGCTTTAAAAGTACATGATAGCTTGAAAATATACAACAACAAATCAGCAATGTAGGGATGGACCATTAAAAACTCAGGGGGGGGGGGGGAATAATAGCAGAAAAACTATGCAAAACATTTTTTTCCTTCACTTTTTTCTTCAACGATGAATTCGCTGAATTTTTTTTTATTTCCGCTGTATGTAATATTATTTCCCTAAGAAATAGGAAATAGAATTTTTTTTTCTTCTGATATTGATCTCTGCAGAATTTTTTTTTTTCAATTCTACCACCCCGAGAAATTTCTAATGGTCCACCCCTTACACTAATAACTACAACACAGTACAACATTTTGGTACTATTTACAATATTTGCAAATACACAATGACTGAAATGTTTATTTCTTGAATTTAGAAAAAAAAAGATATTTCAAAGTCAGATCATTTTATACAATGAAGATGCAAGTAAGAAATTTTGAAAAAAAGAATTTTGTATGGTACCTTTAATTTAATGACAGACAAGTTTTTGCGAATTTTGCATGTCAGTAAAATTTATGAAATTTTTTAGCAGTGAAAATTTCATCGGGTACTCAAGATTTGGTCATAACAAATTATATTAAATCATCAAATTATGAAGCAGCAAAGAATACTTCAGTATTATGTAAATTAAATCATTAACATGCAAAAACTTTAGCTGACACGATTTTGATACCTTATAAATGGTTCCATGACTCGAGGCAAATGTAAAATTTTAATATGCAAATCAGCTAATTAATATGCAACAAACTGTAAATGTTAAATCACCAGTCAGACAGCATGCATTCAAACAATTACTGTATTGTACACACACGCTTTATAGATCACATGGGACCCATATCAAATATGGCGACAGTGCTCTTTTATGATAAGAAGACACCATTGAAAAAAGTGCTCAGTTTAGAATGGTTTTATATAATACAACAAAAGTATGACAATTCTTAGTCACTGTCTCTTCCAAAAAAAAAAACATTTTGCTCACAGCCTCTTTCAAAAAAAAAAATTGATTGTTAGATCGTAGTTTTAAATACCGAACTTACTCTATTAGAAGTGCATGCACTAAAATAAATTTGAAAACGGTAATAAAAGTTAAAAACAATTACAGTATTTTAGGCATATGTGCAATTCTAAAAGGGAAATGTGAGTGCCGACCACATTTGATATAGGTTGTATACTACACACAGCAACATATACACATTTGGGTCAAAATGTTGTGTTTATTTACACAAAATGTAAATGCACTCAAATGCACACAGTCGTTCCAACCACCGCCTTTTATGACTATTCTACTTATTTTTATAATTCATAGAATTGAGTGAGAAGCTAAATTAAAGCAGGGGAGTCCTCATCTGCGCATGCGTCAGATGGCCATAGCGTGTTAGTGTTTACAAACAAGCGTCTATTCATGAGCCTTTGCGTTTTTAGTGTGTGTTGTTATTGTTGTGTGATCAACAGTGGAATCCCTCCAAGATCAAGCTGAGTGAGGTTGTTTACTGCTGGGGGAGGTCACTGTGACTTTCTGGTCTACAGAACCCTAGTGAAATGTCCACTACAAGATGTTAAGATTTTCTCTGACTGACAGGAACATTTGTCTCTCGTAAAATGGTTTATATATACCATGTCTCAATTTATATTAAAAGCAAGATTCTGTTTTCTCAATGAAAAACAATGTACCCGGTATTCTCAAAAATGAGAAATATGGTTCAATAACCCCAAAGTTGATCAATGTTCCAAAAGTTTTAAGTTCATAATAAATATTTAGCTTCCTAATGTCAAACAGTTTATCCCATCAGAAGACTCCATTGTAAAATAGGGGTGTCACATGCTGGAATAAGGACCTATAGTTGGAATAAAATCTCTAGTGTCTGGTATTCCTTTCAATGAAAGCACTGCGGACCTCTTTTGCGATACGGCTGTTGGTAACTTACTATTGATCTTCTGCAAGCGAGTCTGAAAAAGAGAATACACATTATCATTTAAATTCATTTTGATTTGTTCATGTGCTCAGATTTCACCATAATGAATATTCTAAATGACATTTGAGAACCCTAGTTATCGGGCAGTGCCATGTTTGAGATTGTTTAACATTTTCACCACCACATTTTCTCACCCAAATGTTTCTGTACTTTTTTCTTAAATTCTTCAATATTTCTGGAAATGAACCCTCATTATGGAGCCAACAGACAAAATTTGAGTAAATTTTCAGTTTTTACTCAAAAAACTTGGGTATTTTTGTCCCAACTTTCTGAAGGAAAGTGCAGACTATAAACGAGACTATTTTGCAAATTTGTGGTGAAACTGGTGGTGAAAAGTTTAACGTGTACCATGTTGCATGTTAAGCCTGGCAAGTCTATATAACAGGTGGTACAATGCATCATGGGTATTATGTAAGGAACCATGCTTGCTGATACAATACACTTGTACATTGCATCTGTTGTGCTCCCTGGTTCCAATCAGGAAAAATACAATAAACAATGGGTTTCCAGTAACATTGTAAACACCAATGTGTAGAACTTTTTATTTTAATCCATACAGGTGCATTTTTTTATATAATATTTTCATAATACACCATGATGTATGTGTATGATCTACCATTTTCATTTGAGAAATTGTCCAGCACGCAGCTAGAAATAGGAAGTTACCATATTCCAGTGAACACTTTCTTGTCTTAGTTTAGGCATATTAGAAACCAAAATCTAGACAAGGCCAGGTTACCAGAAATATTTTTTTTTCTTTGCCCACAAGGTACAGGTATCAACCATTAGAAGTGCACAACAACAAGTACATAACATTTTTTTTATTAGAAGCACAACTCCAATCACTTGGATGTTCAGTTACAAGCAAATTAAAAGCAAAAGTACCGTATTCTCCTTATTAGAAATGCACCTCATAGTATATGAAAGTGTGAAGCGTGTAGAATATTGTTGTGAATGTGTAGACAACGATAACCCGTGCGTAAACTACGCTTCGACAATGACCTGTTAATACAAGTAAAATGCTGTAAATATTTCATGTCATATTCAGTTTAGCTCAAAAATGGGCTAGTTACCAGTTTTTTGGAAAAACCATGTCGTTTATTCTCTGCACTCTTTTCTGAGGGGGGTGCTTGGGTAAGCACCCACCCCTAAAAAATCATGATTTTCTGAGTTGAGGCCCCTGGGTGCTAACGCTGTCGAGTACGGTATATTGCTGATAGAATACGGTATTGTACAATTATAGGAAGTATTATGTATTTTGAAACAACAGAGTACAAGTTATTTGTCCCTGTTGTACAATAATAACAAAACTGAAATCTGTCAGCCATTTTGAGTCCGATGTGCAAAACAAAGAGACGTGCATCACATAATGTACAATTTACAAAGTTTGAATGAAATCTGCCAATACACAACCAAGATCTGGTTCTGTATTAACAGAAATGCTTGATTTGAATGAATTTTTAGCACTAAAAATGGTCATCAATCATCCATTTTAAATCAGATCATAAAATGAATGCACAAAATGAAAGTTTGCTGTATGTGTGATGCAAGCGAAATAAGTCCAGGCATATGTCAGATAGAGGTAGAGGTGGACAGTCATGCATTCATTCATTCATTCATTCATACATTCATTCATACATTCATACATTCATTCATTCATTCATTCATACATACATACATACAAACATACATACATAATTACATAATTACATACATACATACATAAT